AATGCTTTTTTGAACATCTCGATACGATCATTTTTGACACTCTCTTGAATTTTGCCTATTTTTGAAGGGTAGAGTAAGTGATGCTTTAATTTTGTTGAGAAGTGTATTATAGAAGTACTAAGATCCTGCTTTATACCGTGTGTAGGCGTCATAGGATCTCATTTGTTGTTAAATTAAAAAGCTAACCGCTTTGTTATCTATTACTGCTCTACGGTTGTTACAAAAGATATAAATTAATATTTAAACTGTTTAATTGACGGACCTCTCTTTAACTTCAAACATGTCATACAGTCCCGGGACTTTTTCCAGCATTTCCCTCGCCTGCCTCGCGACAACCACTTCTCGGGATTCCGCACCAACGGCGCCCGCTTCTTTCGGCTGCACGGATATTATTATATCTAGCACGGTCTGCGTGGTATTGCTCTGATATCTACGGACAAGCATAATTTTGCAATTACTTTACGGTAAAACTGCTCCTACAGATCTGTGCTTCTCGCGCTGTACAATGCCTTACGTAATATTCGCATTTGGATGCAAGCCGTATACTTGTGGCGGATCCACGGGGCTCATGGTTTCTATCGCCTTCAGATAATCGCTTACTTGCTTAAATATCAAAAGCGGATAACCCTTGTAGAAAATGAAACCCTCCGCGAAGAGCGCTTCCGTAAACCACACTTTCGCGAAGGTATTTAACAGCCTTTTATCGTAGTCGTCCGTAACGCGCCCGCCGTACTGCACCTCGCCTATCATGTAACTGAAAATACACAAATGTGTGTGGGGGCGAGTTAATCGCTAAGATAAAAAAAAACGGAAGCCGACTCAATTTTTGGATCTCTCTATTTACCGCACGCTCTGCCAATTTATGCCGCGCTTCGGATCGTAATCATTCAGATGATTATTCATGAACATGCAGGACGCCAGCCAATCCGCCGAATTAAATTCGTAAGGTATGTTCCATCCCAGGGGGCCGAATTTGCGTCTTTCCTGAACGACGGTGTGCAGGAACGACACGGCGTACACCAGCGGTATGTATTGCGCGGCGTCGCACTGGTCCAATATTTCCTGATTCATACTGCTGTACGTCGCCAATAAACCCGCGCGTATTCCTAACGCGGAAATCACACACCTTGATTATGCTATTCTCACTACCTCGCGTAAGAGACACGTCTTTGTTCAAGTAAGAATAGAAATAGATGCCTTGCGGTGGTTCGTATGTATATTTTATGGACATTTGCAGTAAGGAAACGGGAAAGTCTCTGTGCGGCTCCGTCGTGATCCACACGCGAAAATCTGGATGCGGCGCTTCCATTTCTAAGAGAAAGTTCGCCAATTCCGCCATGTACTCCAAGCCTAAATGGCAATTCTGGCATAAAGCCCAAAAGCCCTGCAAGTTTGCTTAAATTAATAACGCTTTACATCGCCGAGGAGGAGGAGGAGGAGGAGGAGGAGGAGGAGGAGGAGGCGTTTTTCCTCTCTCATAGTAACACCTCAGTTTTCGCGGCACTCAACAGACGACGAGCATGGACTTCTTGACCCTGTCCCATCGATACGCTTCGACAAACGATTTCCATTCTCTTCGCGAGCTGCTCGATGTTAGGCGTAGGATCCGATCCCATGCTTAGGAAACAGATCATCGGTGTGTTCGGCCTCGACTCGCTGTGCATTGCATCGAGAAGCGTAATCACGGGATCTGCGTATTTCGCTCCTAAAGAAGACGCTATGTACTTCCTGGATTGCGACATCGCTCTATCCATGCACCAAGCTCTGCAAACGTATTAATTCACAGGAATTCAAATACATATAACAAATCACGATTCTTGAGATTCTTGAGCTTTCGTTTATTTAATCAAATTCTCCGGAAATATCTGCTCATTTTTTATTACAGATAATCAAAACTTCTCAGATTGTATTTCGCATTTTGTATATATTATATATTTATATACAAAATGCGAAATATTTTACATATAAAAAAATATTATATTTTTATGACATTATATTTGTATTATATGTCAATCTTAAGGGGTTACACCACCTTGACCGCCTAAAAATCAATCGGTAACTTTGGGAATTTTTTTTAGGAAAACAATAAAAGTAACAAAAAATTCGTTTTAAGGTTTTAATAATACAAGTCTTTAGAAGTA